GTACCCCCGCTAAATATTTTAGGGGTACGCAGTACCCTGCCGTACCCCCTTACTTTCACCCCTTTCACAGTGACAGCGGCATCACCTGTGCAGCTCAGTCTCTGACTGCGACAGGAAGTTGTTCTTTTGATTGGACCCCTGATTTTTGTGTCTCACACTCACTTCCTGCTGATGTCTTTTCTTTTCTTTTTATTCTTGAGGTCAGGATGAGGCACAGTGTCATCCTCATGGAGAGGGTCTTCCTTCTCACACTCATTAATGTCATCCTCACTGAGGTTATCGTCTGAAAGAAAGACCAGTGTCATACACAATTTTAAAAATATACCGAAAGTTACCGTTTGTGTTTTGAAAGCAAATATTTACATACAGTGTATAAAAAGACACACTCTTTTCCTCTTTGTCTGACATCAGATCAGACTGAACCTTTCCTGTTTTGGCCCATCAATATGATCAAAACGATTTCCGCAATAAAACATTATCTGAATAAAGAAATAATCATTTTTAGAGGGTTTTAATAAAACTTTCTTGAAATTCAATAGTTTACATTCACCAAGATGAGTTTCCATGAACTTCTAGCAGCTGTGTGCTGAAGCAGGAGCTGAAAGATGATTTAGACACAACCTGGAGCTCACTGGTCAACTGACAGACACTGAGGCAGATTGACATTTCAACACCCACTGTGTTTAGAGCCAAAGTGAATTAGTAATTAATGCCAGTGTGTGTCTGTCTGTGTGTGCGTGTGTGTGTGTGTGTGTGTGTGTGTGTGTGTGTGTGTGCATTCTACATCTTCTTAAACCCTCACTTGGTAGATGGTCAGGTTCTGGTCCTGCTGGAGGTTTCTTCCTGTTAAAGGGGAGTTTTTTCCCCTTCACTGTCACCACATGTATGGTCAGTATGAGGGATTACTGTAAAGCCAACAACACAATGCAATCTGGTGGGTTTCCTTAGACAGAAAACTTTGTAACCAGTCTGAATAATAAACAGAATTTGACAATGTGATAATTAGGATCAATTGGAATCTGCCTGTGTGACTGTCATGAGTTGTGTGTTGTGAACTGGATCCAAGGCATGATTAACCACTCTGGTCAATGATGGGGTTTGCCCCCACATCAAAACCCGCTGTTCAGAAAAAGGCTAGACATTCACAAAATGATAACTTGGCAAGGATTAAGAGTTTGAAAAAAAAAAAAAAGTAAACTTCAGTCAATCCTCAAACCTAAGCCGACATATTGTTTTTAGTGAGGGTTTCTCTAAACTATATGGTATGGCTTCTATGTCTGGTGAGAACGGAAGGTTGTCTGGGATTTGAAAATATAAAATTTTGAACTTGTGATGAATATTTTTCACTGCGTTTTCACGGAACCAAAGGCTGAACTAATTTAATCCAAACGTTGCTTCGGCGTGTTGTTATTATTATTATACAAATGTTAACATAATGCAACTAACATGTTGGTGATGTCTATAATGGTTAATACCGTCAGAATTGTAATTTGTTTCTTAAACTATATTAACATAATATTTCCCACATAAGAAAAATCTACAGTAAATTGTTCAAGATTAAAAAATAATAAAATATCATTATTAATCACTATTATCATTACTATTAATATATTACTTCCACACTGAAGACATCTGGCTGGATGTCTTCAGTCTTTCTGTTTAACTGTCTGAACCATCGTCCTCTTATTCAACAGCATAGCATTATTTAACGCAAGGCACAGACTCACCTGATGGGACATAGTCGGCATCTTCATTTGACAAATATCCGTCTGAGTCGTAGTCAGAGTAACTCATGGCGCTGAGGGGGAGGAAAACTTAAGTGAGGTGAGAATAATAAGAGGCTGGACTGCTTCCTAACAGCCTGTTTTGATGTAACACAGTTTAAGAGATACAACGTGCGCTGGGTTCAGACACTTCCTTAACACCTAAACAGAGACGGGATCATTAAACACTGGCACAAACAGAAAGGGTACGTTCTTACTCGTCAACAACCATTCGCTCTCGCATGCCGAGGCTTCCGGTCCGATATCGCCCAGTTCCGGTAGGAAACGACGTTCTCTTTAGGAAGGTTCCGGAGCAATAGACCTGGAGGTTGTTTAGTTTACGGTTCAGAGCTAAAAGTCATCTGGATAAATTAGACAGTATTCAACACCAAGCATTAAGATTGTGTACTGGAGCATTCAAAACAACACCTACAGCAGCATTAGAAATAGAAACGGGAGAAATGCCATTAGATCTAGGAGAACTAAACTAGGAATTAATTATTGGTTAAATTTGATGGGTAATAAATGTGATCATCCAAATCAGGAAATTTTAAAATCATGTTGGGAAAAGGAAAAGAAAGAGATGAGGAGTTATGGATGGAAAATTGAAAAGGACATAAAGGAATTTAAAACGGATAGTCTAGAAATTAATCAAACAGATCCAATATCAATTATACCACCCTGGATTCTTCCAGAAACTATAGCAATATATCAATAATGGTAAAGAAACAAGCAGTGTTGTGTTCAAGACCACCTAACCCGAGACCAAGACAAGACCAAGACCAGAGTGTATCGAGACCGAGACAAGACCAAGACCAGCGGCCCGCGCTACATGACACAATAAAATGTAAAATATGATCGAAATTGCT